TCTTTTCAGTTGGTTTCATTGGATTCTAAAATATATTCCAAAAAAATATGCGCAAAGGTTAAACTTTGGAGATCAAAAGTAATAATTGGATTATGAATTTTGTAAGAAATATTTTAGAGATATAAGAAAATGGTTTAAAGACAAAATATTTACTTAATTATATTTGCTATATTTTTATGAATTTGTATGAATTCTATTTTTGCAACTTATTACAATCGCTAAACAAATTTAAGAAAGATTAATATTATTAAATTATATAATACTTGCAATTATTTATATATGGTATAGTTTATAATTTTTAAATGATTTTGATTTCTTTTTCTTGAATTATTCTTTATCCTACTTCCAGTCTACTCATTTTGCCTGAAACAGAAATTCAACAACTAAACAAATTATAGAAATCAAACAGAACACGCCTATAACCACACTCTCTTCAATATAATCCTTCTTTATTAAATAAATACAATGAAATTAAAATATATAAATATATGTATATACGTACATAAAAATTTTTAATATAATCATATGACATCACGAGAACCAAATTATCAACCAATCTCATTGAGTCGCCACTGGAGACATAATGGAGCATGCAAGAATGTTAGCTGTACATATATATATTTCGATATTCATCAACGAAATGTAAGGTCAAAGGAACGTTAATTTCATCCATCCCATCCATTAGAGAAATAATGCAACTGTCCATTTCTAAGATTCACTTCTCTGAGTATGTACAAGGTAACCTTGTCCTTATTGGCAAACACTTTGTTTAAAAATAGTGATTAATATTGCTGATAACAGTACGTCACACTTTAATATTCATTCGTATTGAAAAGTGTGTTGCAACGAGGCCACGAAAGATATTATTATAGAGCAGTTTTCCATTAGCCATAGGCTGTGATCCCTCCTCAAGATGATATTTTTAATGTGTACGAAGAGAAAACTATCGCTCAACGTGGCTTATGGGCGCTTACGCGTGCGAGGATGAAACAATATTGGAAAATTATTTATAGCTTGAATAAGGAGAGAACTAATGCAAAGCTATCGACGTGCAACCATGCCACTTAATAATAAACCTGTGTTGTACAGGTACAAATATCGTGGAAATTTATCATTTAACTGGGAAACAGATAAACAATCGTTTCGATCGTTTGAAGAACATCACAAGAGGGTCTGATTTCTGAGGTACGTTGTCTCAGAATGGACACTTTGTATTTATAAAAGTTCAGATGTTAAATATATATATCCAACAGCAATCATAGATGTAATGATCAAGAACTATTGAAGACGCTTGTTTATCAAGGAAGATTCATCCATTAAAAAATTGATGTTCGAGAAATTAGATAAACAATATTGTAAATTGTTCCTATCAATTTTCTCTATTCGAAAATAAATATATTTCAGCATAGTTTCGGTATACGATATTGTTTCAAGGAGGAAACAAATTTCGTTTCTTCTCTGTGTAAATTTTTTTCAAAATGATTTATAAATTGCACATCGATAGCAGAACAATTATTAGCAATAAAAAATTATAAGATGATATACATATCTGTAAATTATTCAATTATATAGATGTGTGGTATTCGTGATTTTATCTTTCTTATGATTTTTATTTTAATCAAGTATACCGATTATTTTTACAGAATCATCGTAAATACTCAAAATGATTTCTCTCTGTTTGGCTACACATTGCGGCGTGCTTGAGTATGCTTGCTTGATCATCCCAGAGCATATTAGCATCGATGATGGCAACGGCAGCCTGGATACTGGTATGGATCATATGGCCGGTAATGAATATCAATCAATTTCTTAATTTAATTATATTATCCAGAAATGCTACTTGGATAACAGCGTAAATAAAATAATAAATAATTTCAACGAAAATTTATTTGGATTTTGAATAACTTAATAATGATTAAGGATCTTGAACAGAAGGAAAACAATAATTTTAGGAAAAATTAAGAAAAAAAATATTGCTTAAAAATTTATTACTTTGACTTAACAAATATATTTACCTTGAATTAATAACTAAAATAAAATATGTTTTTATTTTTCATGCAAGATTATCTTCAGATCAAGTATTTTTAAGTATAACTTTATATCATTTAACACTTTTAATGTCACTTTGAATATATTTTTTTAGTGATCCACTGCACATACATATAATTATATTCACAGATTTGCATCAATTTTCTGAAAAAAAAAAACTTATATAAAAAGTGAGATCTTATCAATTTCTACTTACAGACCACGCGCCATCAACAAGATCAGTGAAAAGGGTATGCAGTTGACGCATCCCTCTGTTCCTTAAAGATTGGAAATAAGCGTCCAGAGAAGCCGGAAAAGCGGAACCGTTTTTTCAAACGTCGTTTTACATGCGTACGTGCGTACGTACGCGCGTGTTACATTCGCTAGGTTACATGCGAAAAGTGCGAGGAAGGGCCTGCAGAGAGAACGGATTTCGTAGAAAAATGTTCTGGCCGGACACGTGACATGTAAACCGTATACAAGCAGAGAAATATTTCCATATACGTACGGAAAAGAAACGATAACAGGTGGAGGGAAAAACAGAGTGAGAGGGGAGAGAGAGAGAAAGAGAGAGAGAGAGAGAGAGAGTGGGGAGGGAGAGAGGAAGGAAGAAAGACAGAGGGAGGGGGAGAGAGAGAGAAAGCAAGAAGAAAGAAAATAGAAAAAGGAGAAATATTTTTTTTTGTTAAAAATAACATAAAGAAAGCTCAAAAGCTGTGGATAAAGAAAAACAAATAAGAAAATAAAAAATATGGAAGTAGTATTGCTTCTATATGAAAATAAATGTGAAATACGTTTAAAAGGATAAGCGCAAAAAGATGAGTAGCTGAATAGAGAAATGAATTAAACCAAGAGGCGATTTAAAAAAGGGATACCTTAAAAGAATTCTAAATAATAAATTAAATGATAAATAAGAAAATTTTATATGTAAAACAAATCGTTTTAAGTAGGAACAACAAAGGATTTAAATAAATAGAGGAGAAGAAAAAAAAAAAAAAAGAAGACGATTTCTATGAATAAAACGAAACGTTGTACTTTGGAAAAAAGAGAGAAAAGTAATTTTAAGAATCGAAGAAAGAAAATTTGAAGCGTACGAGAAATAGAGATAATACATATTGAGATAGAAATGAGCGAAAGCTGAAAATTGAGGCAAATTTGTATTTAAGATTAGACAAAATAGACAAAAGACACGTACGTAAATAAGTAAAAAAAGAAAAAGAAAGAGAAAAGAAAGAAGGAAAAGATTTATTTATTATTATTAAGGAAGTACGCACAAAATATTTTTCAGCAATAGCGAATTCTTCAGACATGAATGTGACTTCAGACATTTTCGGAAACGAGAGTTACAACGTGAGCAATGGTCTCGATTGCGGCGGAGAATTACACTCATATAGAATATGGGAACGCGTGTTGATCGTAATCATAGCCCTTTTCCTTAGTCTGACCACCGTTGTCGGTAACATCATGGTGATGATCTCGTTTAAGATCGATAAACAGTTACAAACGATTTCCAATTATTTCTTGTTCAGCCTAGCAGTTGCTGATTTCGCGATCGGTCTAATTTCCATGCCTCTCTTCACGGTATACACTGTGCTCGGTTATTGGCCGTTGGGACCGCATATTTGCGATACGTGGTTAGCGTTAGATTATTTGGCAAGTAACGCATCAGTATTAAATCTTCTTATTATCAGCTTCGATAGATACTTCTCTGTGACGAGGCCTCTCACCTATCGAGCCAAGAGAACTACTTCCAAGGCCGCCATTATGATCGGTAAGTTAATTTTCTGTTATATCTATCTCTGAATTTAATGGTTCTATTGGTAACACTAAAGACAGTTACTTATCCATAGAAATTTCAGAAGAAACAGTGAAGTTTTAATATTTTATGGTAAATATTGTAAAAATGGCAACATGCTAGTAGTTTTGTAAATCAACAAAGTAAAAGAACGAATTCTTTATGATCTATTATCATCGATAGATCGATTATCGATTTATCATCTTTGTAAGAATTTTTAACAAATCTCGATTATTAAAAAAATTCTTCAAAACTCGAATCGATATTAGTTTTCTGTTTAAAAAACTACAAAATTCGAGACCGTTTTAAATTTTTCAATTAGTATTTTTATATATAAAATATATACTATAATATATATATTTCTGATATTTTTATCTTTATAAAAATAATTATATTTAATTACATGTAAGAAAAAGAAAAATCGAGTTACTTTCTTCAAATTTATCTATAACTTATATATTAATGATAAATTATTTCGAAGATATTTTTCTTCGTTTTTAATATTAATAATATCGAGAAATGAAATCTTTTTTATATAACTTTTTTACACTATCAATAGAAACAAAGGAATCAACCTACTTCTGTCTAGTCAATAATATATACTTATACGGAAAAGCTTCTTACAAAGGAATGTATTAAACCGATATTGGATGTCTATTTTGATGAAACTAATCAAGAAAGTATGTAGCCCGATGAAAAAATATTTAAAATATTCTATTTTTCATCGGTAATGATATAAAAGAAATAAAAATAATTCTTACAAAATTACATAAAAGCTAATAATTTGAGATTTTAATAAATTCAATGTTATTTTATTTTGCTTATTATATTTTATACTATATGAAAATATAGTATAATATGATCATAATCTTGATATGAAAAGCATGCTAAATCAGTATGTTACAATCTTTTAAGATAAAAAAAATTTTTTAAAAAGATTTTAAATTGTTAAATAAAAACATTAGCTACAACTTTTCAGGAAATACTTCATAATCTTTAAGGAAGGACAAATCACTGATATATATATATATATATATATATATATAGATTAAATTACAAAATTCGTATTCCTTCTCATTTAAATAATACTTTAGAACAATAGCATGAATATTAAATAAAGAAGAAATAAACAAATAATACGTTTCAGCATGCGCCTGGGGAATTTCATTGCTTTTATGGCCACCTTGGATTTATGCTTGGCCATACATCGAGGGCCAACGAACGGTACCCATCAATGCATGTTATATACAATTCATCGAGACAAATCATTACATCACATTCGGTACCGCAATTGCTGCATTTTATGTGCCTGTCACTGTGATGATCATTCTTTATTGGCGCATATGGAAAGAAACCAAGAAGCGGCAAAAAGATCTTCCGTATTTACAAGCTGGAAAACAAGATGCCAGTAAGAGGAGTAATTCTAGGTTGGTTGTTTAATTTTTTTTCAATCTTTTTATATATACTATTATATAATTAATAACATTTTGATACTATGACGAGATAATTTCCAACAGTTTTTATTAATTCATTCTATCAGTATCGTATTATGATATTAATATGCATTAAAATTACTTGTTATTTCAAAAACATTTCATAAATCAAGTAAATTTTCAAACAAAATATATATGTCATACAAAAATTATATTTTCAGATCTAAAGAAGAAATCCAACAATGAATAATATCTACTTTCTTTAATTCTAAGTTATTTTAAAATATTTATATTTGTATATATATATACAATTAATTAATCCGTAACGTACTAACAAATACAACGAATTAATAACTTAAAAAATGAAAAGAGATAAATAATCTATCTAATTATTTTTTTACTTATTAATACTTCTCTTTACTTATTAGTATTTATCTAATACTTTTTTTACTAATTAGCGATGAAGCGTTAGACATGGAGGACTGCAGGAGGCCTAGAAGCGAATCGAGCACAGGAGTCGAAGACGTGAACGCGACACATATCGCAGTCTCTTATCTAGAAAAACATTATCCTCAATATAAAACGGTAAATATTTCAAACTATTTAATATTATATATATTATACAAAGATATTTGTTAAAAATAATGAATATAATTTATATAAATTTATAGAAACACAGACCATTTTCGTGGATGTGGTTAAAGATGTGGTGCATCGCATGGTGGCATAGTGGTCGCGAAGACGATGACGAAGAAGAGGATATCGAGGGAGCTGAGAGCAGTCGTGCTACACACGGTTATGACGAAGCCATAACGCCATTGTCAGCGGAAACCCCTCTTACTGGTACGGTCTCTCGATCTGCCTCTTTAAGTGGAATTCATCCTACTACGTTAACTGTTGAGAGAGCTATCAGCATCGCTGATAACCATGATTATAAAAAATCTGGAAAAGCCGGCGAACTATCAACGAAAAGCATCTCTAGCGATTCTGTATGTTTGGATTTATAAATATTCTAATAATATTGCACGATCTTGCATGTTACAATAACTAAAAGTTATATATCTTGATAAAATAATTTTTGCAAGAAACCTTATATTTTTATTTTATTCATTCTTATTTTCATATTTTTGTTTTATTTATCTTTAACATTATTGTCACTCAATTAATCAATCATTCAAAATATTTCACACAATTAAAGCATAAATTAAATATATTGGCTGATCAGAGACATTTCTACAGTATTCGTTTTCATAATTATCACAAAATTAAAGGCGAGAATTATGGATTAAATGAAAAAAATTAAAAATATTCAAAAAAAGGAATAAAAAATTTTTGATATTGAATAAGAAGTCACGAGATATAAGACAAAGAGAGATATTATTTAGAAAAAAGAATATCAATCTATACTTAAAAAGATTTATTTGATACACATTTAATATAACAATTAAAAAAAATAAAATATCTAGCTCAAAGAATGAAATTGTTATATTTGGACATAACAAAGTATAACACAGTAATATATCGATCCAGTTATTTAATAGATTAGAGTAATATAAGCTTGCTTGATCTTTCTGAATTACTTCGTATAATTTTGAAATTTTTCGTATCATAAAAATATCATAGAATCAGGGGTGTCAGATTATATATTATATAATTATTTAATATATAAAAATACTTTACCTAGGTTTACACGATTCTAATTCGACTTCCAACAAGAGATACCAGTGGCATGGGAAAATATTCGGAAGGCCCAAGTATAAAAATGTATCACGACGAAACAGTGAGTCCTTCAATGATCACCAGGAGACCATCTCACATGCCGGACATAAGGATTCCCTTAAATACAAAAAACATTCCGAAAGCATTAGGGAGCAAGCCAGCCGCGAATAAAACTACAAACAAGAAGAAAAAGAAATTGCAGGAAAAAAAGGCCGATCGAAAGGCCGCGAAAACTTTGTCAGCCATTTTGCTGGCATTTATCATCACCTGGACACCGTACAATATTCTTGTTCTAATTAAATCCATCACAGCCTGCTCGTGGTACATCCCGCAAGAGCTCTGGGACTTTTTCTATTATCTTTGTTATATCAATAGTACTGTGAATCCAATGTGTTACGCCCTGTGCAACGCGGCATTTCGACGAACATACGTAAGGATTCTCAAGTGCAAGTGGCATAATAGAAACAGAGCCGCGATTGACAGAGGATGATATCAGTAGAAACGCCCAGCATGCGACATCTGCACGCTTATGGGCGTACTATTTTCTCTATCATTTTCTCTCTTCTCCTTTTTAATCATTCCTCCGAACGTGCTTGCCGATGATAGGGAAACTGAGTTGCTTTCAATTATAATATAACCTATATTAATAAATGTTTACATTTTATGTGACATTTTCGCTCAACATTATTGCGTATATCTTACTTTTATTAATTGGAAATCAAACATACGTATTTATTATTATACTATATTATAATTATATAGTATTTGCTGTAATTACTATATAATTTTATTATAAAATTATATTTCTCAGTTTTGTCATTTAAAAATTTACTACGTGAGTATTAATATTGTTTTTTAATCTTTTCATTTCATTTCTATAGATATGGATAACAAGAAAATAGTAGTTTTGAAAATATCATAGGAACCTTTTTTAAGATAAATAAACTTTCGAAAAGTTATGATAAAATGATTTGTAATACAACATTTATACAAATCGAAAAACAGTTAAAAACATTATACTCAAAAATTTTGTTTCATAGATGTTAGATTAGGGAAAAACAGGGTGTTTACATAATTCCATTTAATAAATTTAATAAGACACATTTTGTATACAGTATTTGTATTTTATAATCATAACACGATTAACTTCACGAGTTTTTGAAATTATTTTTATCCACAATTTGAAATTGTTTTATCCATTTTAGGAAAAAATGAGTGATGATATAGAAAGTATTTATCTATTTAAATTTGTCTATTTAATTTTTATTAGATATCTATAAAATTAAGAGAATCAGAAAGTATGATTTTCAATTACATCGTTGAATGATTGATTAAAGAAATTAAAAACATTTATTACTCGAAACGCGAAGAGGCAAGCGTGTTCTTATTTTAGATTATGGGAAATCGAAAGGACTACTAAATGTTCGCGATTAAACAGCTCAGATTTCCAGATTTGAGGCAATGCAACGTGAATACTGCCATGAAAAATAATCTTTATAAATATATTTCTGAACCGTACAAAAAAAAGACAAAAGAGGGATAAATAATCGGCACATACGCGACAGTGCCAAATTTGTGACTCGATTTCAGCGACGATTGTACGATAAATAAATGATATCGACTTGTCGCGAATCGAGTTTTTTTTCTATAGTTTGTGAAACGAAATCAGTTTCTATAAACAACATAAATGTAAAAATATCTATTTAATCGCGTTGAGACATTTACAATGATATATTAAACAAACAAATTTTTATCAAATAATTCTAAATATTAATTTTGGATTAATAAATCAAAATCATTGGTCGTCCAAAATTTATTATAAAAGTTTTAAAACTGTTAAAAATGTTTTCAGTTATATAGAATTGTTAATGTAGATAACGAAAAATAAAAATTTTCGTTTAACAACAATTTTCAAATTAAAAAGAAATAATATTTAAGAAACTGACTAAATTTCGCGAACCTCCTACAAAGCTATACCGCACAAAAACGAAATCTTATTCGAATCCTAAGAAAAATAAACAAGCATTTCTCGTGCGTTTTATTCGAGAAACACAACGCACTTGATGTACATTTTAAATAGTAGTTCAGTTGTAAATGAGTGTTTTAAGTGTAATTAGTCATGGAGAACCAAACAAGCGCTAATATACATAGAGACATGTGTCACAACTATAACGACAACAAAATAAAAAAAAAAAGCGCTGCATCGATTCTTTCGTATTAAGAAACGTTGTAACACTTTCGTATTAAATAACATTCTAATCACACGTGCCAAACGAAGCTTTAAGATATCAATAGTATAGGGCGGTAACTTAATAAATGTGTTCTTTCAAAAGTATACTTCTATTAAATATATAATATATAAATAAGAAATTAAGAATTTTCTATCATTTTTTTAGTATAAAATTTTACAGAATTTTTAATATGTATTTTTTTCTATAAGGTGACATTACATAATTTTGTATCATTTGTATACAGTACTTCTCGGATAAATGATACAACAATGATTTTTTCTAATTTCGTATGTCGAATCATTGTGAATATAAAATAAAGATATAATGCTAATTATAAATTAAATTTTAATATTATTATTATTATATATATATATATATAATATACAATTTAAAATATATATGTATATTTTAAAAAATTGAATTTTATATTATAATTTTATAATAATTTTATTGCTTTATAAGCATCTAATGAAAAAGTTAAAAATTTATATTTATATAAATTTATATTATCGATAAATATCTTATATATCGCGAAATTTATTTTATGAATAATAGGAAAAAATGGAGTGAATTCTTAAAATATGTGATCATTTATCCGAGGATTATTGCTACTGTGTCATTCTAAATGAAATTTAATAACAAAGAATATAGAATTTTATTCAGTTTAATTAAATTTATTTAGAAGTATTTATGATACAAATCGGCTTTTCAAGCGATTTATAAGATAAATATTTAATATCACCTATACAAAATTTCAAATCGATCTTAATTGATATTTAAAAATTTTAAATCGATCCTAATTGATATTTAAAATTTTTTAATTAGATTTGAAAAAAATAGAAGAAAGACATGCAAAAAAATAACTTTTTGAAAAATACATATAACGCTTACCTAAAAATTTATTTCCTATATTCCTATAATTTGTGAATTGTGATCCCCTTAAGGCTGTTATTTTTAATTAATAATAGTAAATTTTTAATATTTATTTATTTTATTTATTATAATTACATTACATTTTAATTATACTTTATTATATTCTAGGAAATAGTCTTTTTTAGGAAATAATTTTTTCACTAGTCAAAGACAATGCTAATGATTATTTAATGGTAATATTTTACGGCAATAAAACCGTATTAATTTTTCAAATTATAAGCAATTTAATTTTGCACTAGAAACAATAATATTAAAATGGAATTTTAATTTTTTTTTTTTTTTCTAAAAAAACGCGTAATTAATGTTTATTTTACAAATTTGGTAAGATTTATTTAATTTTTTTTATTTATTTTATTTATTTCTAATAATTAATTTATTTACAAAATTATAATGAAAAAATAAAATAAATCTTCCTTAAAATAATAATATTTTATTATAATTTCTTAAAATAATTTTTTTTGACATTCCGTTATTATTAAATAATGTTCGTAATGCATTAATGTATAAAGATTTATTTTAAGAATCTATTATTTTTCCTTTCTTATATAATAAGAAAGCAAATTTATGTATCCTTATTATCCTCGTTAAAAATATTCATTATCTTAAAAATTTATCTTTTTATTTTATTTCATTTTCAATTATATTTTGATAAAGTTAAGTTTAATGAAATTTAATTAATTTTATAATATAAAAAGTTAATAGATTAAAATAAAAATATTGAAATTAAAATTCTAATTTTAAATTTATTTTAATTAGATATATTCTTTAATCTTTTAATCTAACTATTAATCATTATATTTTTTTTACGAAATTTTTTTTTTAAGATACGTAACATTCCATTTATTATAAAAATTGAGAAAATAATATTGTCTATTCGAGGAAAGCCGATTCTGTTTACATCTATATTAAAATCCAAATTTTTCCATTTTTTTTGAATTACAAAATTATTTTCTATCACAGAAATAAATATAAGTATTCAAACGATGAAACGATCGAAAGCACACATTTATTAATTAAGTACATGGTCAACTTGTCAGCAGTCGCGTTTGTTCAAAGAACGTATCATTGATATTTTAGATTTCATATCAAAAAAACGACATATTTTCTTGAGTAATGAATATTAATATTCAGTATAATATACTAGGGTGGTATAAAAAAATTATTTTTCAACGATGAAAAAGATTTATGTTTAACCTTTTCAAATTTTGTATGATAAAAATAATTTCTATAAAATTTAGAGGTGTCGCAAGTATTTTTTGCTTATTAATTTAAAGCGTATTTATGATCTTTCATTTTAAACTATTTATAAACATATTTTTTTAATTTTTTAATTCTTATTTTTATTATAGTTAATTATAATATTTTTTTCTCTAATCTTATTATAAGTTTTTTATTATAAGTATTAATTATTATAAATTTATTGATATCTCAAAATGAATGTGTAAAACGAATATTCATATCATAAAGGAGCAAATTAAGAATTCTAATTCCAAATTTCGTTCAAAATGATTTGTACATTAGAAAGAAACATTATTTCCTGAAAATAAAAATAAATTGAAATTTATAAAATCAATGAGAATTATAATTTACAAATGATTTGCGGCACCATAAAAAATTTTTTTAATTAAATTCACACTTTAATAACTTAAATATTGCTATTGAAATATATACAATTTTCATTCTTTTTAGATGTTATAAATTGTAAAAAAAAATATCATCCCTATATATATGTTTCGTTCCGTCCTTTTATACATTATCTAACGTGTCATTTTATTTATCTCTAGTACTTGTTACTTAGCGTGTATATTTATAAAAACGTATATTTACAAAATGCACATGCACATACATGCATCTCTCTCTCTCTCTCTCTCTCTCTCTCTCTCTCTCTCTCTCGCGCACTCTTTTTCACTTCTACTCTCATTCGCTTTTTTTTATTCAATGTTCAATATTTTAAAAAAAATCATTTTAGGAAAAAAATAAGCTAACGGGATAAATAACATGATGTATGATACAAATCCATCGTTTTCCATACGATACGTTCCGCTGACGCGGCCGCTGAAAAGTTTTCCTAATCCATGTATGTATTAAATGAAGGCGAAACGTCGCCGGTTCAAACGCATAATTCGTGAAGAGAGGGGATTATTGCGCAAAGTGATGCTTGTAGAAAAAGAAAAAGAAGAAAAAGTCTGATGAAAAACATTTAACATTTTTTTCTGTAAATAGAATTATGTATTGAAGGTACACGAGTGTGGAAGTATTCTCTTGAACAAATATTAAGAATTATAATTATTTCTTAATAACGCGTACATTATACATAGCATAGCGCTGATACACATTTCGATAATTATCTTTATCTAAATTATTTAAATTATATTAAATAAATTTAATATAAATAAATTTATAATCTTTTAACGCTCAAATTTCATATATAAATTTTTTTTCATTTATTTATTTATTTTTTTTTTAATTCTTTTTTTCTTTTTTTTTTTTTGCTTATTAATTTTTTAAAAGTGTGTGTATAAAATGTACAGATTTTTTTTTTGTTCCGAAAACGATTTGTTTATCTATTAAATCATATTTGGAATTAAATTTTTATTTGATCGACGATAAATTATTTATTCGTAAATTATTTGAATAGAAAATTTCATTTGATATTTTTCATTCATTATTTTTTATATAAATAAAATTTTGCTCAATATTATACATAATAGTACAATAATGGTTAAAATAAAAAATAATAATAATAAAAACAATAGAAATGATAAAATGAAACATAAAATTATCAAGAAGAAGAAATTACAAGAAGGAAGAAAGCGATCATTGTTCGTTTAAAAAGTATATAAGAGTACAAATAACAGTTTATTATTATAAAAATTGTAGAAATTATCATTGTATATAAAAAGTACATTCTTATCTAAAAAATAATGTACATTTTGTAATATAAAATATCATAGTTTCAATGCATATATATACACACCCATCACACGCTCACCCATTCACACATACACACATACATCATAACATAAAGTAAATTTTTAAAATAAGATGAGCGTTAAGAGATTAATAAAGATTAGTCAATTATTGATTAATTTTTCTTAACATAATTTATTAATCAGTTAATTAGATAACTAATTAATAACTAAATTTTATAATCAATTTATATTTATAAAATTTATATTCATCAATGAAAATTTGTTATTTTATATTATTTTGTGTTTTCTGTTATATATTTTGTTAAATTATAAAATTATTATTCGTGGATTATATTTGTATAATAAAATTCTAAATCGAAAATTTCTTTCTTAAGAATATAATGATATTAATTCAACAAATTTCCAAAAAAAAAAAAAGAAATGAAACAGAAACTAATGAAGAATTTCTCCACGCGTTGGAAATGAAAATTTTATAAATTCATTTAGCGAGAAAATAACGGTAAAAAGAAAAATATAGAACAACGACATTATCAACTGAGCAGATAAAGTGTATCAAATTTTGCGCAATAACCCTGAATAACTTCTCACGAAAATAAAAAAAAAAATAAATTTGCCAAATAAGAAAACTTACGCACATAAACATGATTATTAATTTACATTCATATATACATATATACATATACATAATATATATAATATATGATGGAAGAGGATGTACCGTAAGGTGTGCCAATTTTTTAATTTTACATCGGTTCATGATAAATGGAAATGTACATTTGTACAATATGATTCATTCGCTAGAAGCCCCAAAATTAGTAATTATAATCCAAAATCGTATGGTATAAAAAATAATATATATTAGATAACTCTAAAAATGATTAAACAATGACATAAATGTTTAATAATTCATATCCACTATTAGAAAGAATTTCTCTTGATATATCACAAAAATCGACACATTTATTTTGAATTTCAAATCTCTTAAATATTAATCATTTTTGTCATATTGGCAAATACAAAAGAAACTCTGAATTCTATTATTATATAAATTAAATTTCAATAGTAACTAGATTTCGATTTTCGAATATTTATCCATTTTTTACTGTATCGATTTTAAAATTACAGATCAATTCTAAGATTACATTGCATCGAAATTATTATTTTTGGGGTCTTTAACGAAAGAATTATTATGTATATTCTCGACGAATCTGCGGTGTCCAAACTGTTCTCTATTTACGCGTATTCAAGTGCTCCCTTGTTTACCTATAATTATGTACATCGATCTTCCATTTGAACAAATAGATTTTACATCGATCTTATAAGTTCTTAACCATCACACAAATATAATCAATTCTATCGATTAATATAAAAATTTCGCGCTAAGATTCACCAGATTTTTGAAAAATCAAATCTGAAATCTTTGAAAAATCATAAAGAAATCATTTAACTGATTCATAATCGTTAATTACGCTAGAAATATTTATTGCATTAACTGCGGACGTGTTCAAATTTTGACTGTTAAAATGATTCACAAAAATAACTGTGTAACAAGTATTGAATTTTTTAATTACAGTTTACGATTGTTCATTTTATTATACTTTTACCGGAAAATAAATAATAATGCATACCTTACCGAGCACCTTTTGTGTAGCCAGTATACATTACGTAGTGTTGTAGAACATTTGTATTTTACTCTCGCCATGGGAAATATACTTAAACAATTGTATTCTATGTATGGAGATAAATTTCAACGACAAAAATTTTCTTATTTTTTTTCAATTATAAATTTAATTATGAATTTTTCTATTTCTTCATAGATATTTCATAGGTTTCGTTTAACAACTTTCTTGAATCGTTTCATTATCTTTCCTCGAGGACACACAGGTAACGGTTGTCGTAACTTTTTATTTTTTTAATTGTCGTATGATTGCCATGAAGTATATAATTTTCCACACGTTTAGATACAAAAATATTGTAAACACTGCAAAACTTATACGTAGTAGAGCACAAAGTAAAACGAAAAAAGAAAAAAAAAAAAGAAAAGAATTGTATCATTCGTTTCAAATGATGATGTCTTTACATAAGCGTATATTGAAATAACAAAAATGGTGTGCGACTTTTTTTAACTATACATTACTGTAAACACCAATATACTCAATCTATGTTTATATACGTGTTTTATATTAACAAAAAATACATAAGATGACAAAAACGTTACGTAACTGGAAAAAAGACGTATAGAAAAAACTGTATGTAATAATACCAGTAGAATCTGGATAAAATATACTATCTGTAATGAATAAGAGTTTTATTTTTTAGATAAATAATTCCCAATTTAAATTTTTATTTTTTTATTTTTTTTTTTATACCCAATTATAGGTACAATAATAAAGTTTCTACAGTATCTTCTAAAATAATATAAGAATTTATAAAGCATTTTTCGAATTCACTACTACAACTCACTACAATTCACATATACATTATTATTATAATTTGTTCATTAAATATACTAAAATTGCTATTATAAAAAAATTTAAAATTGATTTAAACATAAAATTTCATTGTAAATTTAGATTTTAAACAATCAAAAACAAATCTGTAATTATGTTCAATGTATGTCATAATGTATTTAATATTAATTTAAAGAATTATTATGAAATAATTCTTTACAATTATCCTTAAAATTAAATAAAAGACAAAATTAATAGAAGAAAAGAAGACAACAATTTTTGTTGCAAATTACTTGATATTCCAAATGTTAGGAATGACAAGAAATCTATTATTATTAATTTTATCTATTATACAACTAGTAATAAGTAACATAGAAAAAGAGTATATACTTTTCAAGTCATATTTAAATATTATATAAATTTCTATATATAAATATTTCTACATTAAATATTTTAAGAATATGGCACATATTTACAATAATTATTTATTTAAAAAATTATTTAATTAATTCATCATCATATAATCTTTAAAAATTTTTTTTAAAGAAAAACATAATCGAACATATTTTAATGTACACTATTTTTAATTGTAAAGACATATATCACAGTCACAAAATCTATTTGTAATGTTTATATGTTTTAAAGCTAATTAGACATATTTTTGGAGATTTTGAACTTTGTTCAAGTCAATATGATATAAACTTTTATTTTTTCTTGTCTCTTTAGTATATACGCGTTTTATTTAACAGATTAATTATTAATAATATGATAATTATTATCAATCAAGAGATAATAAAGATCTAATCCATTGAAATCCAACATTTTTTTATTGCAATTTTTCATTTGTAATTTTTTTTTAATTAATTTATATTATTCTATCTTTAATCATGATAATTATAAAAAAAATTAAGAATTTATTACTTTATTTCTATTTCTTTACTTAAATTTCATAATAGCAGTTGGATGTTAATGGATATTGCCATTTAATGTTTTAATTTATTATTTTACTTTCTATCTAGTATACGTATATATATTTCATTTTGTATGCAAATCAAACTGTAAGTTCAGGAAATATATTTATTAAAATCTGATCTAATAAAACATATGCCAGATGTTTATTGAAAGGTGCATTTTGTAATGAATCTAAAATGAAATCCATTATTTCAATCCATGGTTTATAAAATCCCATTAACCAATAAGGTAACAAACCATACAATCCTTTTTTTGCTGTTTCATAATAATTTCGACGATTAATTTGAAAAGATGAATCCTTTGTATGATTTTTATCATCCATTACTTTTGCGTGCAAAAGTTTTACCACAGTAGCTGCACGGCCACTGTTTAAAAGTTTTGCTAACACATTATAAAGTAGAATATTGGCATATGGATCCATCTTTGCTGATTGTGATGATGAAATAAATATCCAGAAAATTCGTGAAATTATTGATGGCACATTCAATAATCTGATCACTAAAAAAATAATAATTGAATATTTATAATTAGAAATTATTTATAAAATAAATAAATTAAAATTATTTCAAAATATGTTGATTATATATGTTGTATATTATATTCTATTAATAATTTATTTTTTATTTGTATCTATATTCATTTTGTCTATTATTGTTTTAATTATTATTTTGTATTTATTCACTGAGATAAAAATAAGATTTTTTTTTAATTTCAAATAAAAGAAAAGCATAATAATAGTATAAAACATTAATTTAAAAAGAAAAATAAAAAAAAAAGAAACTTACCAGCATCTACAACACGAAAAGATTGACTCTTAATATGAGATCGTTCCAATGAAGATGATAAAATCCGAAAATTAAGATCTAAATTAAGATTGTTTCCGAATATTCCGAATAATAAATCACGATGTCCTTTTTTCTCTGTTTCATTTATTGTTGAATCGCTTGATGGTTCAATTCCAATATCCGTGTAATCATTTTTGATATTAGTGGAAGCTAAAAACACCGACATAAATTTATCTAAATGTTGTCCTTTCTCTTTTCGTAGTTTATATGCCATATTTTGATATAATATGCCAATATCTGGTGTGCTATAATTTGTAAAGTAAGGTTTTAAATTTGGCACAGTCAAAAAATTATATAATAATTCACTACTTCTAAGCACTGGCTTTGATAATAATTTTTCCAAAAAATCTTCATAACGTTGTCTATTAATAGCACAAGATGAATGTGGATTCTTTCTCGAAGGTAATGGTGAATCACTCAATTCTTTATCTCCATGAAACTCAGCTAATCGTGTTCGTAAAACATAAAAATCTTGATCACGACGTAAAACTGTCCAAGATTTTCCTTCGGCAATGTTATGTACAGCTATCACGTACAAAGTTTGATTATCTCCAGTTTCAATATGTGGAATACTAATTCGCCATGTTGTTAAATCCCTGTGAAAACTATCATCCGAATACTTGATTTCATTGTAAGGACGAGAAGGATAATCTATTTCTTCACCTTGATATATATCTTGATAGGGCATTCCATCTATTGTAGACGATCTTAATACACCATCGATCTTTGGAAAATGATTCCCTATCTTTGAAGATATATTTGTAGATCCACTAGTAACATTTAAATAAAAATTATATATATTTTAAAGTATCTCTTAGAAAAATTAGTACTAATTCATTTGACCATATAATTCATTATGATTAGTTTATTATGATTAGTTTATATATTTTAAAAATGTTAAAAATTTTAAGTTTTTGGCTATTTTATGATTTTATAATAATTAATAACTATTTGTTTTAATAATATAAACAATTAATATTAAAAAATATTAAAAAATTACCTTGTATATGGTATTTGTTTTATTCGACTTGGAACTGCTTGTCCACATAATAAATCATATAACTGTAATATTACATAAAAAATAATTATATTATTAAATTTTATCATATTATATTATTAAAGATTATTAATATATAATTATATAATTAAATATATATATTTATTAAATAAATATAATATAAAAACATACAACTATTCCTTACTTGATAACTATGATGGAAAGATGGTAAACAAGTAGATTCTAATAAAGCATGTGCCTCCTGATGTGCTTGATAAAATGGTCGTGAAGTCCTCATTTCCTGAATTTTCTTTGAACCTTTTTCTAAAACTAAGAATAATATTAATACATATAATATAATTATATTCGTGTATATTAATATATTAATATATATTCAAATATCACAAAGTGATTTATGTAATTTAATAATATGAAATAACTTGTAAATTATTTATAAAAAGTTTCATGTAAAAATCATATAGTATATAATAAATTAAAAACTTTTAAAAACTTTAATACTTATTATTGGAATTTTAAAAAATACTTACTTTGTCTTATCCCTATTGATATATCTTCTGGTAAATGTAAATATTCTGGACCTTCAGGATCTAAGTATGTTGCATACATATTTTGAATATCTGTATACAAACTATTTTCTGCATTCAAACTCATATCTGGATTTAACATACGCTTACTCAAATCATCTGAAAATATATGTCAGAACTTTTCAAATTTTAATCTATATCCAATAATATCAATTTTAAATTTATTAGAAATTTACTGATTTAAAATTTACGTTATAAATATGTTTAATTTAAATTCAAAATTCTAATTCCAGAAAATTTAATTTTAAAAATTACTATTATACTAACTATATCATAAAAATTAGTATTAAACTATATAAAAATTTTATATATATTTACCAATATCTAAACAGAATTGAAAAAGATTCATGGGTCCAGTTTCTTTAATGTGTTGCATAAACATATATAATAATCGAGGATCATTCAAAATTTCATCCAATGAAGGTTTCAAATTATTCTGCATAACTTTAGATATCAATGGTATTGTCACCCAGCATTGCAACATTGGCACATTAATCATATCCATATAATTATACATTGAATTTTCATGATGAGTAGCTAAAGTTATTAATGCATTTATGTTATCTGGATCAGCAATAGCATCTATTGCTGGCAACAAAATCCAATTAGCTAAAATTTCACGAAGTATAACCTAAAAACATAATAAAAAATTATGAAATTTTTAATTATGATAACTATATTGAGTTGAATAAGAAATCCCCAGGTAATATAGTAAATTTCATTTTAATTAGTCTTTAATTCCTTATAAAGCTAAATTAATAAATTATTTAAAAAGATGTCTTCCTATTATTTTAATAATTAACTATTGATCCTGGAACTAAGAAAAATTAATTAAATTATAATAAATAATATAACAAAACTAAACATATAGTATAAAATAATTGAAAATTTCATTCTTTTGATGAATTCTATCAAGACTTACTTTATTGTTAATAGATACATGAATAGCTGGCAATAAATGTGGTATAATTGCAGTTACTATTCCTCTGAGATAATTTAACTCTGCTTTACGTGAATAACTAGCTGGATGTATTTCACAACCGAAATGATCGATTAATTGATTTCCAAAGGAAGACATGTCCGATACATCTTTCACTTTCGTGCGCAGTGTTTTCCAATTTTGAGCATGTTGCAATATTAAGGGTATTAAGTGATAAAAGACGACATTAGGGACGTCTGTGCGAAGCAATCGGACTGTAATATTTTTCGTTGCTGTAGCTGTTGCCAAACGAAGTTGCTGTACGAATGCTTCGTTCGTTGAAAAATTCGAATACCATGCGCAAACATATTTCTGTAATAAATCTTCTAAAAGCTGTAAAAGAAAATAATATATTAATTTTTATATTAGATTCGAAAGAATTTTAAAAATAAATACAAATATATATATAATATAATAAAATATATATATAATATTTTTTTCATCATTTAATTACAATAAATATTTTTTTATTTCTTCTTAAAATTAGCTTTTACAAAAATAAAACAAATAGAATAAAAATATTATTATTATATATAATAATATTATTTTACATTGAGATATAAAATTTGCTATCTATATAATATAAACATAGGATAATTACTTGTTCCAAAGCATGGTCAAAATCTTTGGGAATTTTGACTTTAGTTGAATGTGGTAACAATTTATGCCTCTTGCAACTGTTATTACTGCAAACACTGCATGGATCTTTAATTTCATAAGTTGGTTTAAAAGTATCACTTAATGCATTCAAATCCACACCTAAGTACTCTAATATAACAAGTCCATAAAAGATACTTGTTATATAGAGACAACATATAATAAGTACCCAAATAATGCTGAAATTTTTTAATAAATAACAAAATTATTTTTTTATTTTTATCTAAAAAATAAACGAAGATTTTTTATGTTAAATATTACGTTTAATATATAAATATATGTAACATATATTAATTATATATATTAATTATACAATAGAATATAGCGATTGTAAAAAAAATTCATATAATTTAGAACATTTTAATTTATTCTTATAACTATATAAATTTTAATAAAAATTTAAAAACTTACCTGATAATTACAGAAAAAAATTACAGAAAAAATATTTTTATTATTTATTATTTTATTATTTTTGTTAATAAAAAGCGAAATAATAAAAATAAAAGTATTAGAATAATAAGATAACCTAATTACAAAATAATAAAATGAAAATTAAAATACCATTACAATTAAATAATATAATAATAATACAATAATTTGAAAATATATACTATAAAATAAAGGTATATCAATTACATACCTTTCGAATACAATTGAAACAAACGCAATCAGTATAAAAACAGTCGCTGGAATTATTACATTACATATAGTAATTATTATATTATAAAAATCTTGTATTTTATCAGTAGATATAAATGCCATTTCTCTATTAACAAATCTTTTTATTATAATTAGAGTAAAACATCGTTATCATATTATCTTCGCATAACATTCAAATAACTAAAATATGACACAAGGTTTCAAAGATGGTTTCACAGGATAACATATGATATTAGTATTGAACAATGGAGATATGTATACCTATAGTTACTTAACGTATATCGAAACGCAGAATTAAAAATCGTTTTATATTTTGATAACTAATATAATTTTGTCTCTTTAAAGTATATATTAATTTTATAACCTAATTTTATTATATTAATGTGATATAGTTAAAAATTAAAACTGATAGTAATTTTCATTTCAAAAGATCAAAAATTTAAATCAAAACTTTTATCTCCTTGTTTTTATAAGAATTCATTTTAATATAAGTTAAATTTATTTATATAGTTAAATTTATTTGTATATTATTTATTTATTTTTTAAAAATATTCTTATTTAAAAATTGTTAATAAATTTCTATATTTTTAAATACATCTTAAGAAATTTATGATTAAAATCTTGATTTATATTATATTAGAAATTTTATAATAGTAAATATAATCATACAAAACTTATTTCAATGGCAATATTTCCTCCGGATCCAAAATATATCTTTCGTGGTAACATGGGTTCTGTAAATTGTATTCTTTTTCAAGTAACTTCCAACATAGAACATCTTTATGCAGGTACTGCTAAAGGCAATATCCATGTTTGGGATTTAAATGTAAATAGAACATTTTATATTTTTATCAAGTAATTTTCAAATATCAATATTATAGAATAAAATAAAATATATAAAAGTTTGAATTATGTAAATAATTCAAATAATAAAACATATATAT